TCTGAATGAGTGGAGAAGGATCGCCACATGCACTTGCCAATAACCAAATTAGCTTACTTTCAGCTCAGCTGCTGAGTCGATCCCCTATACTGGTTAAATACCATCACTTCTCAAAATGAGAATTTTGCTACATACCTAAATCTGTGTTCACAATTAGAAATCGCAGGTACATAGTAATGAAAAACCGATAGCCAAATCAGGCCGTGGATTTACTGAATACTAATCCTGATTTATTTTCATGAGAAATACTAACTTCTCCAGATGGTTACATATCAGCAGACAAGAATATTTAAATGGTAATATTATGGGATTATTGAAATCAATATGATTTCCTAGTGTTCCACTTTAGAATGAACATTCCTGGATTTATTTTCACTTTAAGGTTAAAAATGCTTCTTGGGCTACAATTCGACAACCACCTACCTGGGAATAAGCGCCATGAACTAAATGGAGCATTACTTCTGAGAAGACATTTACACAATTGTATTTGCAGAATTAGAATGACTTGTGTATAGCCACATAACACACATGGCTGATAAATCATTCTTGGATTAGCTACAGCAGAAAAGAAGTGAAATATGGGAACAAATCTGAAATCATGGCTAAAAGTGCTTAGAATTTACAAAACAAGCAGAAGTGACTCTTGACACAGAAGCAGTTATGCATGAGTAAGACCTTTAAATAAAAAAGTTGATGAATGCAGGTTTTCAGCAGCATTTATGCTTAGATCAGAGGTTTTGGAAGTAACAAATGTATAAGGCAGGCATAGACAAACTCGGCCCTCCAGATGTTTTGGGACTACAACTCCCATCATCCCTAGCTAGTAGGACCAGTGGTCAGGGATGATGGGAATCGTCCCAAAACATCTGGAGGCTGAGTTTGCCTATGCCTGGTCTAAGGCAACATCTGCACTATAAATTAAAAGCCATATAATATCACTTTAAGCACTCATGACTTCCCCCAAAGAATCTTGGGAACTATAGTTTGTTAAGGGTGCTGTGTTCTTAGGAGGTTCCTCTTCCCTACACAGAGCTATGATTTAGTCAATTGTAGCTCTATGAGGAGAATAGAGGAGTCTCCTAATGATTCTCAACACCCTTAGCAAACTACTTTGGGGGAAGCCAGAACTGTTTAAAGTCGTATGATACTACTTGAAATGTGTATCCTTTGGCTAATTAAACAATATATAGCCTTTTAAACTGGGGGAGGGGTTATTGTTTTTGTTTGTTATTATGTTGTGTCTTTTTGTGTTTTTATGTTGTAAAATGCCCTGTGATCCTCGGATGAAGGGCAGTATAGAAATTTAATAATTCATCATCATCATCTTCACAGTGCAGATGGGGCCCACTTCCATTTTCTGTGTCAGAGGTGGTGAGAAAAAGCAATGCATGCAGCCGAGAATTCCCATTTCCAAGTAGCAGTTGGATCTGCTCCTGCTTTAGAATACTGACCCTTGTCTCCTGTTGTTCTTCAAAGTACTTTCCTTAGGCCTTTCCCTTTAAACCATGTGGATGTGAGGCTTCTTTAGCTACAGTTACCACCACTTTTCTTTATGCTTCATCCTGAACCTGGATACTCATTCTGGAAAAAACCATGACAAGTGCCTGACAAACATTCCTTCTCTCCTCTGACATCAGGAGCCAATGGTCACCTATTCAGACTTGCTGAGGAAATTTGCCAACAGCAAAGCTGAGAAGGCTAAGAAAAATTATCTGGGATGTTTTTCACACATCTCACCCCAAAGTTTTGCTTCTTTGGAGGGTTCTGTTCAAATAAAATATCGATGGGAACTTTGAAGGGCGTTAAATGCATTTTATAAGCAGCAAAAACAAGAAAAGCTCTCCCCTTTGGGTAATGTAATGACATCACTCCACAAACACTCCTCCCCTTCTCTGATTTTATCAGCCTTACATAACCCAGCAGGAGACATTTTATGAATCTACTGCATGTCTACTTCAGGCTCTGAGCACACAGAGTTTGATCTGCTGTGAAATTGTCTATTACCCAAGAAGTAAAATATTCAGCAGCTGTGATGTTCTGTAGCCCAGCCTTGAACCTAGACAGCTTTCATCATGCCAGTTGGATTGAAGACACTGAACCCAAGAGATCCTGTGTTCCCTTAATTTCCCCTTTGAAAACTATATGAGATGGCTCATTTGCATAGAAAAGCTTGCCTTGAATATATGACATTCAGTTTTCTATAGTAAGCGATTTTGGGGTAGCTGCTGGAGCTATATCAGTTCACTGGGGGGGGGGGAAGCGGGGACAGAAAATTAATAAAAGATCTGACTAGTGTAGCCACTGTCCACACCACCATACAGGTGACCTGAAGGCTATTCTTTGAGCATGGTAATGCATTTTTAAAAAATGAATATACAAAAGGTTCTTTATCACAAAATGAAGTAGAGGGATTTATTAAAATTTGAACTACACAGGTGGTATATTTACTTTCCTAAGGTCAAACAGATGACTCTAAAGGTTTTCCTTTTATATTACGTGTGACCTTTTTTCTTTCTTTTTCTTTTTGCTTATTTGGGGTCTTGAAAGAAGCAGCACTGAACTAGATAATTAGCTTGGCAGAATTTCACACAGTTGCGTTATGGGCAGAGATAAAGAGTGGCAGAAGGCACCTGTTGGCGCATTGCCCTACAACTCGTCCTGTTCAGTAAGGAGTTTTTTTTATGGAAGTAGGTTTTGAAGCTGAGTCCTTCTGCTTCAAAACAAAGAGCGTCTGTTTTCAGTCACAACAACATTGGGCAATGTGCCTTTAGAAAAAGCACCGAGCTATATATCAATACTGTATGCCACAGTTGGAAGCAACATAGCTCTCATTCATCAATGGCTGGTGCCTTCTTTTCATAGGGAAATATTTAGAGTGTGTCCCACACCCCTCCTATAATAGGAATGGTGGTGTAAATCATGTGAGGAAATAATGGTGCTGTTAAAGCACCTTCTAGTGTTCCTTGTTGCCAAAGTGACCTTTATTTACCACATTTGGCTGAGGTACAATAGGGGCATATGAATTTGTTTGAGTTTAATTGAGACTACAGATTAAAAAGGGAACAGAGAGACTCTAAAGAATTTGTGTTGAGGATTTCCACTACATTGCAATATTTACAGTGCCAGAAAGTATTGCTACAGTATAACACTTAATTGGAAACACCTATAGGCAAGTAGAAGGTTCACCTAATGAAGTGAAAGAGGTAATCTTTCTTAAGCTGTCCTAGATGTCTTTCCAAAGGGAGGCTTATGCTCATGCTTATTTTCACTTTAGACTTTTGACATCATTGCAGTCCTAAACAGCACAAACTTTGAAGTTCAGCACAGAACATATTTTCATACTTCTGAAAATCTTTCTTTTTGTAAATCTTTCTCTTTTTTTAATAGAAAAAAATACTTTTGTACTGTGTTTTAATGCATTGTTTTAAATGTTATTACTTAAAAGCCTGTAAGCTGCCTTGAACGCTGAACTGAGTCTAAAACTTAATTTAATGTGTATAGGAGGACACATTGCACAGATCATAAGTCCATGGTGCTGTGAGAGAGAGTTAATGAAACCCAAAGGTATTACTGGCTGATTGTTCAATCTCTCTTAAGTCCTTGAGCAAAGGCAGACTTTTCATCTTCCTAGCTAACAATGTGGTCTATATTTGTGTATTCAGAAAGAGACCATAGATTGCTGGTGAAGGAACTGAGAAAATTCAAGAGAAAGAGCTCTGTAAGAGTTCTGGAAGTTCTGGAAGCATTTTTGGGTGCTGCCTGATTCTCTGGACATCTCATGGCAGTGAATTCTCAGGCAGTGAATTTCAAGCTGTGCACCACCACTCATGCACAACTTGTATGTTTTAAAACAAGTTCAAACATTACAAAACACCATAAGCCATCAGTGACCCGCTTCTAATGGAAACCAAACCTAGGCAAGAACTGCTCTTCTTGAATTTCTCACCACTTGAGGAAGTAGGGACGAGAGTAACAATATATTTTGACCCTGGAACACAACTGGGTTTCAGTGGTATGATATCCCTATCCACATTGCATTCTTTGAGAAGTGGATGCACTCATGGGCTTACCTTTACTACTCTCATTACATGTCACTATGAATGAGGTATCCAAATTTTAATGCCTCATATATTTTGTCAGCGGTAGCGGTGTACCGTGCCACTTTGACCTTTCTGATTGGCTTGCCATTTCAGTCCTTCCTTTTTATAGCCTCATTAACCTGTAGGACAGAGGTAGAATGGCCCACCAATCAACGTACAGCTTAATGAAAAGGTCAACTGAGTCCACTGCATTTAGACTCTTTTACAGAGTCAAGGAAATATAAAAATGTGGCCTTCTAACTCCAGAGACAAACCAATGGGATATGAACAATGATGAGGTGACATCAGTCCATTCTTCTGAAACATAGAGTATCTCTGGTAGAATTGTGGAAATAGTGTCTTCATAATGAGGTATATTACCATTTTGGTGTCCTTTTCATTTTGATTCCTATTGCTCATTTCCACTTGGAGATGTAAAACGTAATTGCAACATTGTATTTTGATCTTGTGAAGTCATCTGCAAAATGCTACTTTTATGGATGCAGACAAAATTGTATTATCTGCTAAGAAAAAGGCCATATAAACAGGGCATACCAAAGGTTTCCAAGTTTTCTTATATGCATAACTTTATAATGAACTTTATTATTATTATTTCATCATCATCATGCATTCATAGTGCCTATATTGCTTGCATTATATAGTATTAAATAAACATGTTTTCAATTTTTCTCACAGCAAAGAGAAAAGGCTAGACTAAACTTTACTCAGTTAAAAGTGGTTTGTTTTTTTAAAAAAATGAAAGTAGTTTTAAGACAGCAAACTTTTGCTGACAACCTCTTGTGATCCTTGTGGAATATTTTGGAATGTTAATGGAGTGACCTGGCCAAATTCCAACAACAGTAATTACATTCTGTCTGCTGCACTGGTTTTTCTATCCAGTTTCAGCTGAATAATGAATTCTTTTCCTCCTGTCCTAAATGGTGGCTGATTGTTACTCTGTGTGTTGCTAATAGCTGTTAAAGTGTACCCTGGAGACCCCTGAATCCAGCAAGGGAAGAAATGTCTATCACAAACAGTGAGTACAATGAGTATGCTCATGCTGCAACTTTTATTCTGTCACTTTTCTACTTCAACCTTTCCTCAGTGTTTTCTTAACAGTGCCAAATTTCACTTTAGCATACTGAATTTTTCTTCTGAAACCAAGCATTTCCTCCCTGAATGGCCAGTTTGCAGAGGAAGACAAGCTTGTAGAAATCGATCTTACACAAAGAGAAAACTACCGTATTTTGCGCCCCATAGGACGCACTGGCCCATAAGGCGCACCTTTTGGGGGGGAATTAAGAAAAAAAAAATTCCCCCCCCAGCCCCCAGAACAGGTTGCTGTGCGCAAGCCGTAGGAGCCCTTCCGTGGCTTGCGCAGAGCTACCCGAAGCCACGGTGCGACTGCTGAGCGCGCCGGGGCTTTGGGATAAGAGGCGGCTCTGCGCAAGCCGGGGGAGGGCTCCCGCGGCTTGTGCGGAGCTACCCAAAGCCCCGGCGCGACTGCCAAGTGCGCCGGGGCTTCGGGATAAGAGGCAGCTCTGCGCAAGCCGGGGGAGCCCTCCCGCGGCTTGCGCGGAGCTACCCGAAGCCCCGGCGCGACTGCTCAGCGCACCGGGCCTTTGGGATAAGAGGCAGCTCTGCGCAAGCCGGGGGAGGGCTCCCGCAGCTTGCGCAGAGTTTCCTGAAGCCTGGAGAATGAGAGGGGTCGGTGCACACCAACCCCTCTCACTCTCCAGACTTCAGCGAAAGCCTGCATTCGCCCCATAGGACGCACACACATTTCCCCTTCCTTTTTGGAGGGGGAAAAGTGCGTCCTATAGGGTGAAAAATACGGTAGGTATGATGTTAACTTCCTTTTCTTCCCCTTTAGGATTCAGTATAGTGGCTAGAGGAGTGAAGTGCCAGCAGTTTCAGCAGCATGCAGCATGTTTCCATTTAAACTATAGTGGAAGGGACCTTAGAAGTTATCCAGTCCATCCCCGCCGCCCCTCACAGCTCAATACAGAATCTGCAAAGGAGGATGGAAGTACAGCACCTCTGCTTAGATACCTCCAGCAAAGTAGAGACAATGACCTCCCAAGGCAGACTCTTTTACTGTAGAACAGCTCTTACTGTTATGTTTTTCCTCATGTGTAGGCGAAATCTACTTTCAGTATGGTGTCGTGGTTAAGAGTGGTAGATTTGTAATCTGGTGAACCGGGTTCACGTCTGCGCTCCTCCACATGCAGCTGCTGGGTGACCTTGGGCTAGTCACACTTCTCTGAAGTCTCTCAGCCCCACTCACCTCACAGAGTGTTTGTTGTGGGGGAGGAAGGGAAAGGAGAATGTTAGCCGCTTTAAGACTTCTTCAGGTAGTGATAAAGCGGGAAATCAAATCCAAACTCTTCTTCTTCTACTTCCCTGCCATTTCCACTTGGCCTGGATCTCAAGCTCAAATTTAGACACTGTTTTGTTTTGTTTTGCAACCTGTTTTTATATACACCAGACCTGTGTCACAATGTGTCAGCTCAGAACTGCAAGTTTAAGATATCTTATTTTGGTTTTGTGTTGTCATTTTCCTTTTTTTAATCTTTACCTTGGCTAGGGGCCTCAAAAGCGGGAAGTGGCCTAGGCCTCTCTGAATCTCCGGGAGGGCTTGCCGCCATATGAATGAAACGAGGACCGCCATGAATGTGAACTATGATAAAATGATTCAGATGTGGCTGAACAATGTTTAATATTGAAGGACTCCCTTCCTTGCATAAAAGGGTTACAGAAAATAACACTGAAAATTTACATATATTTCACTCAAGGTCCTTAAAAAGAGCCTCCATGAATTAATATTTTTTAACAGCATCTAGAATTGTTTGTGATAGCTCATATATTGATTTTAGAAGTAGGGAAAGCTGGCTTCCCCCACCCCGACATTCTAACAATGGCCTTTTCATAGAACAGGATTGAGTGTTTTGTTTGCAGCAAATAATTTCCCTATCTCTACTATGGAAAGGAAAGTTGTATAAACATGACATTATCAATTATCTCTTCAAGGGCCTCCAAATGACAGCACAGAACATTGCATTCTGTAGATGGAGTTTTCCTGTAATAATTAAAATGAAAATTATTTTGGTTTTGCTTAATTACCTGAGTATATCTTCGCACTCACTAATTTGATGGTGTAATTGCAACTTTCTGTCTAACATAAATAATAATGTGGGTTGTCAAAATAACAAAGGAAAATGTTTTGCCAATTGTTTAACAGGAAGAAATTGTATTTGTCTCTATGTGTCTCTCAAAAATAATTGTGGCATACCTCTCTTTTATTATGCAGATTTGCCATCTCACTTTCTCAAAGTTTTTTTTTCTTCTAAAAGGGAAAATGAAAAGCTGGAACTTGATTATGAACAACAAGGGTTTCCTTACAGCCAGGATTGTTCATGAAGCCAAAATGGGAAGTACTTGAAGCTCTACCTAACCTAGGTATGAGGCTGAAAGACTAGTTTTGTCTGTTTGAATCTGCCTAGAGAAAAACAGATTCTATGTTTTTTGGATGACTTTGTTTATAATGTTGGACTTCAGCTGTAATGTTATGGCTTTTAGAAAATAATTATCTTCTGTGGGAAAGTATAAATTCCTGTCTATCTGCCTACTTGCTTCCTACCTGCTCAGCCTGCATATTTGTAACTAAACACATATTACATTACTTTTTAGTATTTATTTTTTTAAAGCAGTTATAAAATTACATAGTATAAATAAAGTAGAAAGATGGAGGTGTTGCTTCTTTTTTTCTGTCACCAACTTGAATAGCATTCAGGGAATGCACTAAAAATACCTGTATAGATTGTGAATAAACTGCAGTGTTGTGAAGAAGAAAAATTTCATGTAAGAGTGTAGTTGTGTTATAAGAACTGTTTGGTTTGCAAAGAGTTAACCAAATAAGGAGAAAAGACTTCTAATAGAAGCCTGGGAGTTATAATGTGTGTGTGTGTGTGTGTGTGTGTGTGTGTGTGTGTGTGTGTGATCTTCAGTTGGAAATCTGCCCAGAAAGAGAGAGTCTGGTATAAGTGACATAGCTGCTGTTTCTTTGGTAACTGGAAGATTTTCCATTATGACAGTTGGAAGTAGAGCTCCGCTTTTATAGGGGTCTGTTGTCAAGGTCAAGTTGTGATAGAAGAAGTTGTGATAGAATAAGAAGGGCAAGTTGTGATAAGTCCTTTAGTGGACATTGTGTTTAAACTCATTGGTTCTTAGTTGTAGGTTTCAGAGAGAATCTTGCCAAGGGTTCTGGCTGGAGATAACAAAAGGGCAGGCACAGTGTTGTCTGGAAGAGAAGAGCTGGCTGTAGAAAGACTGAGGAAGCCACTTAAAAGAGGCTGAAGGTGAGCCTGAAGATAATCTGGACCTAAGAGCAGCTGCCATTGCCAAAGGAAACAATTATAAGCCACAGTAAGGCTGAGAGCTACAGTAGGAGGCAACCTACCTAGATGTGGAGTTTTTAAAATATGTGACTGACTGGGCCACTACCTACCAGTGTATGTGGAGAAGCTGTAGGATTAGAATGTTAGTTACATATGTGAATACTGTCCTGTTATGAAAACCACATGAAAGGAGCAGATCAGCAGTTTAGTTCTAACAGAGGCCTGCGTGATACAAAACATAGGGTTCTTGAGGTGGCAGTCTGCCAACAAATAGCTAGACTGATATAAGAGATGAATCATGGACTCACAGAATTGTGGAGTTGGAAGGGACCCCAATGGTCATCTAGAGAGCCAGTGTGGTGTAGTGGTTGAGAGCGGTAGACTCGTAATCTGGGGAACCGGGTTCGCGTCTCCGCTCCTCCACATGCAGCTGCTGGGTGACCTTGGGCCAGTCACACTTCTCTGAAGCCTCTCAGCCCCACTCACCTCACAGAGTGTTTGTTGTGGGGGAGGAAGGGAAAGGAGAATGTTAGCTGCTTTGAGACTCCTTTGGGTAGTGATAAAGTGGGATATCAAATCCAAACTCTTCTTCTTCTCTTCTAGTCCAACCCCTTGCAATGCAGGAATCTCAGCTGAAGCATCCCTGACAAATGGCCATCCAACCTCTGCTTAAAAACCTGCATGGAAGAAGAGTCCACCACCTCTCGAGGGAGTCAGCTCCACTGTTGAACATCTCTTACTGTCAGAAAGTTCTTCCTGATGTTTAGTTGGAATCACCTTTCTTGTAATTTGAAGCCATTGGTTCGAGTCCTACCAAGCAAAGCAGGAGAAAACAAGCTTCCACATGACAGCCCTTGAGATATTTGAAGATGGCTATCATATCTCCTCTCACTCTCCTCTTTTCCAGGCAATACCCAGCTCCTCCAACATTTCCTCATAATGCTTGGTTTCTAGACCCTTGAACATCTTGGTTGCTCCCCTCTGCACATGTTCCAGCTTGTCAACATCGTTCTTAAACTGGGGTGCCTAGAACTGGACACAGGACTCCAGGTGTGGTCTGGCCAAGGCAGAATAGAGTGGTACTATTACTTCCCTTGATCATGACACTAGAGTTCTGTTGATGCAGCTCAGAATTGCATTAGAATGAGCATAGAAACCCACACAATCCTTCTTTGGGGGGGGGCATTCAGTTCCAAAATGAGCGATCATTGCCAGCTGAAGAAAACAAGCAGGGCCCCTTAACAACATATGGGGCCCTGCTCCATGTTCCCACACTAATAGAAGTGTGGTGGATTTCCATGAGGAACAGGTCTTTTGGTAGAGACACAAACTCTATTAAATAGCCTTCCTAGAGAAACTTCTTCTGGCCTCAAAGCCGAGTATTTTTGGATGCCTGAAAAACTATGCTGCAAAATTCAGAAAAGTGTGAATTTAAAAAAGATGGCTATGTCTTGGTTCCCATATCGTTTTGGAATGTGTTAGTTTTTTAAAAAAATGTCTTTAAATTTAACTAAATCAAATTTTTCCCTCATTCCTAGAATAAAATGTGCTCACAGAAAACTTTTGTGAGAAAGAAATATATTTACATATATTTGACTGGTTTTCATAATAAAGTCTGAACACAGGATTTGAGTTCACAGAATATAATTTTTTTTCCAGTGAGAATTGTTGAAGCTATCTGCTTAACAGAATATTCTGTTTGACCATTCAGATCAGGCATATCTCAAAAGCAATTTTATCTGGATTTAATTGTCTAATTCTCAAATCACTTTCCCCCTAAGAATTTATGAAAGTGGTATTTTTTTTACAAGAGTTCATTTTTATTCTTTTGTAGATGATGGCATAGATAAATCCGTAAGCCCTCTGACACTGAAGTAATGTCTTTCATAGTGTGAAAAGATGGAAAGAGTTATTTCTTAAATCTACGACCTTGCTATCAGAGAGTCCCAGTCATTTTCTGCAGTGAATCTTTTTTAAAAAGTTGTCCTTTCATTATTCCTTTAAAGACTTTTTCCTGAACTCAAATTAATTATACCTGCAAAGCACAGTGATGGCTCTATCAGGAAAGAGTAACACTTGCATTTCCCTTCTATTTAATCCAAACCTATCAATGCCCAAATGGGCACAATATGCTAAAACCCCTGGATAATGGACACATGAATTACTCATGCAAGGAATTTGAAATGCCTTACAATTCACCCATATCTACCATAATTATTTACAACAGAAAACATAATGGAAATGTATTCAGCAACCTCAGTGATGGCACATCAAATATTTGTGGAAAAGGGAGATCATTGGGGGCGGAACATATTGATACAATATGAGGTAACAGTGAGAGGTTTACATTAGAGCCCAACTGTTTCTTTTCTCATAGAGACTTTCTTTATACTGAACTGGGGGAAAAAGAATTATGGGTTATAGAGAACACAGGAAAATGAAAACCAGCTGTGGTACTAAAAAATACAACAAATATCATTTCAAAAAGCAAATGAGATTGGGGCATGCTGCAAAAAAACACTCATTCAATGGTAGGGGGTATTACGTAGTTAAGGCCAGAGCATATTTGTGTTAAATTTTATATATCCATTGTTTTGAACATTATTTAGCCCAACCTATAGCCTAAAAAGGGATGTGGGTGGCGCTGTGGGTTAAGCCACAGAGCCTAGGACTTGCTGATCAGAAGGTTGGTGGTTCGAATACCTGCGACGGGGTGAGCTCCCGTTGCTCGGTCCCTGCTCCTGCCAACCTAGCAATTCGAAAGCACACCGAAAAGTGCAAGTAGATAAATAGGTACCGCTCCGGCAGGAAGGTAAACGGCGTTTCTGTGCATGCTGCTCTGGTTTGCCAGAAGCGGCTTAGTCATGCTGGCCACATGACCAGTATGCCGGCTCCCTCAGCCAATAAAGCGAGATGAGCACTGCAACCCCAGAGTCGGCCACGACTGGACCTAATGGTCACGGGTCCCTTTACCTTTACCTTTATATAAAAACAAAAGGTGGCAGACAGCTAGATAACTGATGATCTGGTTTGATTTTCTTGTCATGTATTGTACTGTACTGTGATTTGGTCATTAAGAGCAAATAAATTTGCATTTCGTTGCTTTGTCATTATTATTATACCATTAAAACTGTGCTAAGCAGAGTTTTGATTAATAAGCAGAACAATAGTTCACCCTTCCCGAGTGCTCTCCTTTCCTGGCACCAATTGAAACATGTTGCGCAAACTGAAGAATCGGAAGGATAGGGATCAACTACCTAGTAGGTAGGAAATAGCAATACATAGGTAAATATATTGGTCATTGGTCAGGCTTTTAATTTGAATGCTTGATTCTAAAAAAAAGTAATATCCAAGGGTGGAACTCCACATATATATTGACTACTTTTTGTAAACAGCCTTGGAAGTGTAAAATAGCAACAAAGTAAGACATATTTGATGGGAAACCAGTGCAAATCATTTTGTCCAATTGGTGCCCTGCAGCTGTTTTTGTGTGTGTTAGGGAAGTATGATTAACAGATCATGTAGTTTGGTCTTTAGTTTATGCTAATCAATCTGAAAGAAAACTTCATTGGGGATAAATTGGAGGTTTGAGAATAACTTTGAAGATTGAGGGAAAGAAAGGAAAAGGCTGAAAAGCTGCAGAGCAGATTGTAAGGGATGTAAGTGTGGCAAATACTGTAACTGAAATGGCTTAAGACCCATGGCGTCTCTCTTCTAAATCTGAAACAGGCTCACATTCTTTGTAAATTAGCATCTGCCAATTCTTATTTCCCCTGCTTTAGGCTATTGAGGAGATATGGAAAACCACCTGCAGTTCCCCCCAAGCAAGATTAAGCTGCTCACAGTATGAAATGGCAAGGAAGAACTTCTCTCAGCCCTCTGCCTCCCTTCTCAATCCTATTGCTCCCTCCTCCTAAACTGAAGGAGAAATGAATTATATTTTCTTCCTCCTCTGTTGCCTTATTATGTCTGTTGTTATAATTTATACTGCTATTCATTAACTTTTGAACATGTCCAAAATCAGTGCTAATGATTATCTAGGGCAGGCTTGAGATGACAATCCTCATTTTGAAGCTGCTTCATTCACAACAAAATGTGTTGCTACAACTCAGCAAAAAGGCAAGCTCTTTTTTGATAGCTGACACAGTGGTTTAAAGGTGTTCTATACAGAATTTTTAAAGGGGATGGGGATGGGGAAGAGGAATCTGATATTAGACATGCATAGAATTGCATGGTTAATAATAAATCCTACTGAGTTTCATGGGGCTGACTCCCAAGTACAGTGGTACCTCGGGTTACATACGCTTCAGGTTACATATGCTTCAGGTTACAGACTCCGCTAACCCAGAAATAGTACCTCGGGTTAAGAACTTTGCTTCAGGATGAGAACAGAAATCATGCTCTGGTGGCACGGCGGCAGCAGGAGGCCCCATTAGCTAAAGTGGTGCTTCAGGTTAAGAACAGTTTCAGGTTAAGAATGGGCCTCCAGAACGAATTAGGTACTTAACCCAAGGTACCACTGTAAACATGCTGATGACTCAGTGAAACAAAGTTTCTCCTTAAATTACTGGGTCTAATGAAGTTTTAGCCAATAATTCACTGTTTGTCAGCAGTATGTCAACTAATGTGTGCAAGGTGCATTCTAATTATCTCTAACTTACTCTTATGCAAGTGTCTAATAGATGAATGTATAAAATGTACTGCAACGTGCTACCCTTACTATAGCAGTAAGGCATGTGGGTGTCTACTGCCAGACTCCATCTGCACATTTGTTAAATAGAATGATGAGGATAGCCCCAAAACATGACATCGGCTTTACAAAGTTATGTCAAAAAAATCAGCTGAGTTTATGTCTTTATAATGATCTGGCCCTAATAGCAGTGCCTCCTCCCTGTCACAGCCTTGCTTACTGAGGTTGCATGGCTGCAGCAACAGTTTCCATCAAGATAAAATGAGAGTTTTGCATGATCTTGTTGGAAGCTGCTGCTGCAGCCACATGACACGCAGTGGCAGGGATGGAAGGAGTTCTCACAGGGATGCCGCCCTGCAGTATTCCACCATCTGAGGCAGTTGCTTCAGTCCACCTTATAGGTGGCAGTTTGTGGAGCCTCACTCCCCAGGATTGTCCCCTCTTTTCAACAGCAGTTGAGTGAAGGGGACAATCCTGATATCTAACATTTTTTCACACTGCTGTACTTATTGGTGTGAATGTAATTTAGCATGACTTGGTGGCATATAGGTACTGCAGTTTGAAAAGGAGGTTAGAAATTGGGACAGAAGCATCACCATTAGAATCAATAAAATTAATTCAATAAACCCCATGTCTGAATGCAGCCTTAGACAATAAAACAACAACAAAAATATTTAGATCCTCATGTGTATTTCTCAAATACACATTGCAACAAGGAATCATATTAAAACACTTTGACCAGTGTAAAGAATACTGATAGATATTGTGAGATTGTTATAGTATAAAACCTTTCTAAAGGTTCAAGAGCAAGAAAAATAATTAGCAACCAGCTTAGATGGCAATTAACCTCACTTACAGGGGAGAAAGTCACAATTAATTCAATAGCACTTACTTCTGAGTAGACATGGTTAGCATTGTACTGTAACTTCTGCAAAATTGCTAATTGTACAGCACTATAC